TCCAGCCGCTGCTGAAACTGACCAGCAGTGGCTGAATCAGGACGCCTGGGGCAGAGCAGCTGGGGTGCTGCCGGGTTGGTCCCGTAGCGCCCAGAGCGGCGCTACGGGACAAACCGGCAGCGCCCCAGCTGCTGTACCACAGGCGTCCAGAGCAAAGCCGCGGAGCAGGGGGGCAGCGGGACAGCCCAGATGCGCCACAGCTGTCCTGCTGCCCGCGTGCTCCGCGGCTTTGCTCCCCATCTCCCTGGTCTGCTGGTCTCCAGCAGACCAGGGAGACGCGGAGCAAACCCCGTTCGTAACTGCGGATCTGACGTAAGTCGGATCCACGTAACTCGGGGACTGCCTGTACATGTATCATCATCCTTTCTAACAGACAGAAGTATGTTTCAAAGATCTTGCAAATAAGGTTTCAATGCCTAGTACTTACTACTTCTGACTCATAAGAGCCAGAACCCTAGCCTTAATGCAATAGAGTTTACCATGTATTAATTAGTAACACCGGATTTTAGAAAATCATTAAGATCAGAGTTTGAGATCTCTGCAGCACTCAAAAAATCAGTTAAAAGAATCTTTTTCTTTCTTACCTTAAGCCATTAACAGTCTATAAACTGTGACCAGATCATTTGTTGTTTTTTAAGTTTATATAAACTTTGTTTGAAATGTAAGCATGCCAATATCCTGGCACACTCCTTCTCCCCACCATGCAGCCTGCTTCCTCGTAGGTCCTTTCCAAGGGATCTCTTATATTACTAAAAGAAGTCACCTCTTCCTTAACTACAACGAGGAGTCCTGTGACACCTTAAAGACTCAGGGTACATCTACATAACAGGGCAAAAGTTGAATTAAGCTACGCAACTTCTGCTACGTCAGTTGCGTTGCTGAAATCAAAATAGCTTAACTCGGCTTTAGGTGCTGTCTACATAGCAAGAAAGTTGAAGGAAGAACACTTCTCCTTCGACTTTCCTTGCTTCTCATAAAATGAGGGTTACAAGAGTCGGAGTAAGAAGTCCTCCAGCTCGACATTATTTTAAAATAAAGGCTTATAGTGTAGACACGCTCTTTGTTATTTTGGAATAATGTCAATTATTCTGAAATAATACTGCTTTATAGAGGTACCCTAAGATAACATCTACAGAACAAAATTACCAGAGGCTCCAGCTTGCACTGTTCCCAAGTAAATAGAGCTTCACAATCATCTTACTCCTTTATCCAAAGTCTTGCATTTCACTTCTCACAGTGTCTCCTCACAACATGGGGTTCTTTCCCTTCCTCAAAAAATCCTTAACAAGGGCGTATCTAGACTACGCTAGACTTTCAAAAGAGGATATTCAGATTCCACGGGAATTTGCATATCTTCTTTCGAGCTCACTTTTGAAAGCGGCACTTTCGAAAGCGAAAGTAATTAAGACGCGATTTTGTAGGCGAACCCTCCTGTTTGTCAACAAGCTGCATAAACCTCATTTTTTAAGGAAAAGCGGGTTGTCGACAAACGGGAGGATTCATCAACAAAACCACGTCTTAATTACTTTCACTTTCGAAAGTGACGCTTTCAAAAGTGAGCTCGAAAGAAGATATGCAAATTCCCGTGGAATCTGAATATCCTCTTTTGAAAGTCTAGTGTAGTCTAGATATGCCCCAAATGTCTTGATTCAACCAGAAAACCATCCCCTCATCCCCCCCTCGACTGATTTGCAGCCTCTGCACATGTAGACTGTGGCTGTCCTGTTTCCTGAAGCGAGGAAGGGAAGCTTTCCAAGCATGGAACTCAGAGAGTTAAAAGTGGGGAGGGTAAAGTGATCAGAAAGATGGCTGAAACTGGGGGGTGTTTTCCATTTTCAGTGACAGGGAAGGGAGAAGTTTGGTCTTGCTCTCACTGGAGGAGATACTGACCTGATTCTAAATGGGGTGAAAGTATGAAAGCACGGGGGAGGGGAAAGAGAGAGGTGTGCTGCCTTCTATCTGGGAAGCAGGAGGAGGGGCACAAATTGGCAAGAGTGGGAGGAAGATAGGGGGCAGAGAAGTAAAAAGGCATCCGCCTTGCTCGGAATGTGCAGCAGAGAAGTGGATACGGGGAAACAGGGGATCCCTGCCCAGCTAATTCTCTAACTGAAGGGTTAGGGGAGAAGCAGGATGCTGGGGAGGCTGCCACCTTGTTAGCAGTTCACAGGGCAGGGAAGGTTTTGGGAGCAAAGCAAAGAAGAAGACCCTATCTTGCAGAGCCTGTAACTTACCCAGCTTTTTCCAGGTGGCCGGAGGCAGGCAATGAAGCATAGATCCCTCCTGCCCTTCAGTCGGTAGCTCCTCTGGCTTCAGCACGATCTGGGTCACATGAACCCCCAAGTACTTCCCGTCTCCCTGATTGGAGAACTCACTCACTCCCAGCAAGTACAGACCCTCCAATGGGGTGGGAGCGGGGGGACTGGAGTAGAGGCTGGTGCCAGAATTGCAGGCAGCTGGCTGCAGTTTCTGCTCTTACACAGTGAGGGTATGTCTACACTACAAAGTTAATTCGAACTAACGGACGTTAGTTCGAATTAACTTTGATAGGCGCTACACTAGCGCTCCGCTAGTTCGAACTTAATTCGAACTAGTGGAGCGTTTAGTTCGAACTAGGTAAACCTCATTCTATGAGGACTAAGCCTAGTTCAAACTTACTAGTTCGAATTAAGGGGTGTGTAGCCCCTTAATTCGAACTAGTGGGGGGCTAGCCCTCCCCAGCTTTCCCTGATGGCCACTCTGACCAACACCAGGGAAACTCGTCTGCCCCCCTCCCGGCTCTGGACCCCTTAAAGGGGCACGGGCTGGCTACGGTGCCCGTGCCAGGTGCAAGCCTGCCAGCACCCAGGCTGCAGACCCTGCACCTGGCACGGCTCGAGCCAGCCACCCGATGCCCCCCAGCCTTTCCCCTTTTCCCGGGACCAGGCTGGGC